ATCTAAGGCACAAGACACAAATAAGAGGATGCTCTCAGTGCTCTCCAAGCAAGCTGAGATGGCAGGTGACCTGTGCCAGAGCAGAGGCTTAGAGTGGGAGCTCATGGCACACTTAGGTGGCACATGCTAAGCCAGGAGGCATTCCAGGAAATCATTCCTGGAGGTACAAAGCAGATCCTCCTCCTTAGGAGCTTCCAAACATGGAACCACTGAATTGTTAAGGTTGGAAAACCTCTCTAAGATCATCGAGTCGAACCCTTAACCCAGCACTGCCAAGGCCACCACTGAAACATGTCCCCAAGTGCCACATCCACATGTTCTGGAGCACCTTGAGGGATGGTGATTCCATCAGCAGCCTGTGCTGGAAAACCTTTCCATGAAGGAAGGAGAAATCACTGTTAATTCTGCTGTCAGAGGCAAACAAAGCACAGGAAGATACTCATGGTCACAGATCAACTCCTCTCTGCTAGATCCCAGAATGGTTTGGGTTGGAAGGACCTTAAAGACCATCCCAGTCCCCCCCCTGCCATGGGCAGGGACACCTCCCACCAGCTCAGGTTGCTCCAAGCCCCATCCAACCTGGCCTGGAACATTCCCAGGGATGGAGCAGCCACAGCTTCTCTGGGCAACCTGTGCCAGAGCCTCAGCACCTCACAGGGAGGAATTCCTTCCCAATATCCAACCTAAATTTCCCTTCTTTCAGTTTGTGCCCATTTTGCCTTGTCCTATCACTCCAGTTCCTGATGGAGAGTCTCTCTCCAGCTTCCTTTGAGATTCTTCCTTCCCTTTAGACAACACAACCTTCTCTTCTCTAGGACCATCCCCATCGTCTCTACCCTCTGCCATGGGCAGGGACACCTCCCACCAGCCCAGGTTGCTCCAAGCTCATCCAACCTGGCCTGGAACACTCCCAGGGATGGAGCAGCCACAGCTTCTCTGGGCAACCTGTGCTAGAGCCTCAGCACCCTCACAGGTAAGAATTCCTTCCCCATCTCCAATCCAAACCTCCTCTTTGCCAGTTTGAAATCAAACCTCTGCTGATAAAACTGCTCTGTGCATTCTCTCACTAAACACTTGCTCCATCCCCTGACACAAGCAGCTATTTTTTTTCTAAGGCTCCAGTGAAGGACTATTTTAAACAGCTCTCAATGGACTAAGATTCCATTTTGGTGGCAATTCAGCTCTAGGTTTTTATCTTTAATTTCCTCCCCCAGCAAGATTCTGCTCTTTGCTTCCCTTCCCTGCTGGCTCACCAAAATATACTCCAAATTCTCCATTCAGCCATCTTGATTACATTCCCCACTTTGCATCAAAGGAAGAAAATTAGCAGCCACTCGAAATAAAGCAGCAGCTGCTTGGGTTTAACTCCTAAATGCCTCTCCCAGCACGGCTGTCACAGTCAGATGCATCAGAGAGTCACAGGAGAGTGCTTATTCCTGCAGGAATCACTTTGGATTCCCAGAGAAGGGACAAGTTCTGGTAGCAGGAGAGAAACAAGGGGTAGTCAGAGATTGGAAAAGCAAAGATCAAGGTTGGAGGCAAGACCTGAGCCCTGCAAAAAGCCATGGGAGCTCTAGCAGGGCCCAACATGCCAGTTCAGATCAAACCTCCTGCCAGAGGAAACTGCCTGAAGTTCAAAGCTTCCTTCAGGCATTGCAGTATCAGAGGGAAGTAGGAGTGATCTGGTTTGAGTTTAGGCACCAAGTTACTACATTTTGACACATTTTCCTTGAGCAGAGGCTAAAGAAACTGAAGAAATTAGACTAAAGCAGTGCCAGGCTCCTCAGCTGTACTGCCTGGTGACAGCTAGAACAAGCAGGTGGATAAAAACTGCCCCAGAAGCAGCTTAATGAATTGTTTGGTACAAACCCAATGAGAATTACTAGGATATTAGAAATATTAGGAGAAATGACTTACTGGAATAGCAACTTCATGGTCAGAGCAAGAACCTCAAACTTGTGTGTGAGCCTTGAAACTGCAGGTTTGAGATACAGAGTAAGGAAAGAGAAGTGGAAAGAGAAGCTAAGCTGAAGCAGAAAAAAAGCAGCAATCCTTCCCAAAATGATACTCAGAACATAAAAGCTGCACAAGCCCAAAACCAGCACAGGCTACTTAGTAAAACCAGACAAAAATCACCCAACATAGGAACTGTTGGGCTTTTTTTTGAAACACAGAGAAAAGGCTCAGGGAAATCCGAGTCTGGTAGAGCAGTTGTTCAGTTTGGGTTTTGACAAAGCAGCCCAGGAACTCCCCCAGATTCCAGCAGACAACATTTATAGCTGCAGAAGCACAGCTGGAACAGCACAGGGAAAGCACAGGAGGCACCACGAGGCACTTTGCTTCCTCCCCTCCCCTTCAGCACACAGAGGCAGAAACCACAGAGGTTTTTCTCCCATTTACTTCCAAAGGAATACAGAGCTTCAAGTCATTTTACAGAATTCCATGTACAGCCTGGGGGAGCTGCAAACTGGCTGTGGCACAGCTGCCCTGGCAGGAGTCTACACCCCTGAGCAAGGAGACAGCGGAGCCAGAGCCAACACAGCACCCTCGTGACACCTGTAACTTCCATCCCTGTCCCCTGGGGCTGAAGTTGGGTGGCCAATAAATAAGGAAGGGATGTGGGGAAAACTCCAGCCCTGGTTCCCATTCCCCCAAGCTGCCACACACACACACACATGGCTCCAGCCACAGAGCTTGGTGCAAGAGGCAGCGTGGAAGTGGTGATGGGAATACATTCCGAGTCAGGGAGAGGTGCAGAGGGAGCAGGACTGGTTATCCAGCAGCAGGCAGCCAGTCCCTCCCCTGCCACACACAATCTGGGTGCAGGAAGGCCAGGGAAGAGCACATTCCCCTCCTGAAGGAGTTCAGTTACGCAGGGATCAGGCTCAGGCTTCCTGCCCTGCCCTGTGCACACACGTGTGATCAAAAAGGGACCTGCAAAAGATGTTTCCTTCTGATAGGGAGAGGCAGCCCCAAACAGCTGCAGCTGCTGTGCTCAGGGGGTTGGGGCATCAAAAACAGCATCAGAGTTTTGGTTTGGGGCTTTGTGGTAACATAGAACCTCGTGGAGTTGCAACATGAAGACTGAAGGCAAAGTCAAGGCTGTTACATGGAGGGGAAAGTGATGTCTCCCTTCTCCTCACAGCCCAAAATCCCTCTGAGAGCTCAGAGCACATCACCCTGCAGCTCCCAACAAGTTTGGCTAACAGGGAAGAGATAAAAACAGCAAACAGGTAGAATTTCAAGTAAAAGCAAGCAGCAAATTGGTTTCCAGTGCCCCTCAGCCTTTGTCACAACAGGCAGAGCCTGACACTCCTTCATTCCCCATCTTTTGCAGGTCTCCCTTTTAAGGCCTTAATGTCAATACAGAAAGAGGAATAGTTTTGTCTTGTGCTTGCAATTGCTGCTCTAGGAGCAGCAGCAAAATCTCCTACAATGTAACAGTTACAGTGTCTAGTTGTCCAGGACCGTGCAAGGTACAGACAGGGAGGGACAGAGCTACCATCAGGTGTTTTAAGCTTGTTGCAGGGACGTCAAGGTCAGGATTTATGTGCCAAGTGTTTGAAACAACCACACAAACAGCTAAATGTTGAGCAACTGCAACACCGCTGCAACTCAGATTCTCAACATCAGCCACAGCAAAGGAAGGAAAAGAAAGAGAAAACCCAAAGTGAGCACTGCTAGGGACACAGAAGAGTTTATCTCCACTGGATTGTATTCCCAGGAGGGAAGACTGGATGGCACAGTCAGATCCAGACCAGTGCAGATGTTGGCACAGAGATGACAAACACCAGCTGGGGCCAGTTCCAGAGTGGATTGTCATGGCAGGAGATCCTGTTGCTGAGCAAAAGTGATATCCATGAAGGACAGGGTAGTGTTTTCCCCCTCTCCTCAGAAGTTCTAGTCGTGAGTTAAGAAACATTAAGACAACTTCTCCAGCTGCAGCAACAGGATTCTGTTGGGTCTTTAGAGATTCAGTCCCAGAGCTGTTTTGGGTTCAGAGGAAGCAGAGGGAGTCTTCTGTGCCAAATCTAGAGAGAGAATTGCAACACAGAGATCAGTTTGCATCATCCACATTCGTAACTACCAACTACAAATCCCAGAGAGCTTCAGTGCCTCCCTACCCAGCTGCACTCCCTTGGAAAGCTTTGCTGCATGGTTGATGGGAGTTCTCTGGAACATCAGCCCACCAGCTGCCCAGACAGGAACAAAACTACATGGACAATCCTGTGTAATTGTAAATTAACAGATTCCTGAAAGGAAAATTGAAGCCTATTCACACCCCTGGCTGAGACAGGTCTAGGGAGAGCTCAGCAAGCAGCACAAGCTCTTAAGCTCTGCTCAATCACTGTTACTATATCACAGCATGTCCTGACTTGGAAGGATCATCAATAGAGAAAAAAATGTTTTTTATCTATCAATCTTATTGTGTATTTACTTCCCAATAAAGACCAGTTTAAGCAGACACCACACCTCAGACATCATCAGCACTGTAGGGCAGAGAAGCTGCTGACTGTCTGACAGAGCTGCTCTGCTTGGCCCCTTGGACAGGATGAAGAAGTAACTAGTCAAAGCAGTAGGTCCCTCAAAGAGCCTTCAACTTCCCCCGTGGCAAACAGTGCAAGCACTTTCCTAGCCCACTAGTCAGTCCTCTCAGCACTGACACTGCAGTTCTACAGGACAACTCTTACTCTGCAAGGCTGTCCCTGCCCCTAAGAGCAGCTCAGGCCTGCAGCATCCATACCTCCATCAGACACAGTGAGCTTCTCCAGCTCAGCTTCCAGCTCAGCATCAGAAATGGGGGGACTCAGCACCTTCTGGGGAACAGGAGGCAGATCTACAGGCTCCTTAGTCGAGTCCTGGAGGAGGCTGTCCAGCTCCTTCTCAAGCTCTTCAGTGTCCATCTCTGCTGAGCAAAGAAAACATTCAGCTCCAAGCACAACTAAGTGGCATCTTCACAGCCCAGACTGAAACCCAAGTATAACAGAGGTGATATTCCTCCCATCCATTGTTACTCATAAGGAGTTTTCTCTGAAGGACTGAAAGGTCAGTCCTGATCCCAGAGAAGGCTGATCTTTTAGAAATATCTTTGCACTGAGGCCAATAAGCTTTTTTGGCACATTTCAGTAGAGACAAACAAGCTGCAGCAACACAGGCCAGAGGAAAAAGCTCATCACTTCAAAAACAAAGCAGCAGCCACTCTAAAAATAGAGTTAAATCAACATTACACAACTCTGAACTGAAATCCACCCACAGTTAGAGACTCCAAGGGTTTGGAGATGGACAAATGCCAATCCCCCTGTGACCCACTGTCAGAGGGGAGAACTCCTTGGCAGCCTCATTGCCTCCCAAGGCAACAGCACCAACAGCCTTGGCATTTCAGGAAGAGCTAATCCTCCCAGGAGCTAGAGGAGGAGGGAAGGGAGCAGGGAAGGGATGAAAACCCAAAGACATACCCAGCCCATTGATCCCCACTCCAGCCAGAGTCTGAGCTACTTCATCTTGAGTATCACAAAGCTGAGGAAAAACAGACAGAGTTTGCTACAGAACACAAACTGATCATATGTCTCACTGTAGCCACCTAAGGCAAAAGCAGAAATAACAAAAGAAAGCTGAAGTTGACTTAAGGCAGAAGAGATTTCCAACCTGGTTTTTCACTAGCCAAAAGGAGCAACATGAAGATTATTTAATCAAGTGCTACAAGGCCAAGTAGCACATTAGAGGATCGAATTTGAAAGAGAATTTCACAGGAAAAATACAGAAAAATCCCTCTCATTTCAGCTGTTTCACCTAAGTAATGAGTTTATATTGCAGAGAAGGTTAGAAAAATCAGAAAGCTGAAAGACCAACCCATCTCAGCTCTCACATTTCAGGCCCTCAGCTCATGAGCTGAAGTCACCATTTGAGCTGACCTTGCTAAAAAAACTAATCCTTCTCATGCAGACAGATTGCTCTATGCATTTCAATTCATCCAGAACTAACTCCTCTCCTTTAGTAATGAGTTTATATTGCAGAGAAGGTTAGAAAAATCAGAAAGCTGAAAGACCAACCCATCTCAGCTCTCACATTTCAGGCCCTCAGCTCATGAGCTGAAGTCACCATTTGAGCTGACCTTGCTAAAAAAACTAATCCTTCTCATGCAGACAGATTGCTCTATGCATTTCAATTCATCCAGAACTAACTCCTCTCCTTTCCTACAGCTTTAAGACCCTGTTTTATGCAGGTAGCTGCATTCCAATTTCCACAGGTTTGCCTTGCCTTTCTTTCCCAGGAAAGTTGTGCTTGCCCAACCAAAGGGACGCATGAAATGTACACATTTAATGCAAATACAGAAAACCAAACACACAGTTATCTAAGTCCTCTGCTTGCTGAGCTTTTAGATCAAAGTAAGTCAGTTTGCTCTGGTGACACATGGAATAGAAACTAAACAGCACTAGAAGCCTCAGGATTAGCATCTGGGCAGGATTGATGTGAACATCCACACACCACTCATTCCTTTAGCTCTTGTTTCAGTACCTCTTGTATCTGATCCACTAAGTTCTCTGCCCTCTCCACAGTCACATCCTTCATGGAAAGCTTCAGAGCTCCCACACCAGCCTGGTAGGCATTAAAAACCTGGAAATAAGATGTAAAGAGAGAAAGAACCACAATGCTAATGATGAACAGGCAGTGGAAGCTTCTCTCCAAATCTCTTCTCCAAGCAGGACTCTTACAGAAACATCAAGTAGAAATGGATGAGCAGGTTAGAGGGATATCCAGGGATAAAATCCCATCACCAATGAGATGAGAGGGAATAAAATGAGGAGCACATTACCATCTGGTCAGTCTGGGAGGCATAGATCCGATCCAGGATTCCCTGCACTGCATCCAGCTTGGAGTGCAGCTCCTCGATGCGCCGCTCCGTCCTCCGCTTGGACTTGAGACACCTCAGAGCCTGCAGGGACACACCCTGGGGTCACAGGAAGTTGTCTGGGCAGGTTTCTACACAAATCTGAAAGCTGCTCATTTCCCTGTGCTTCACAGAACCATCGAGGTTGGAGGAGACCTCTTAGATTATCAAGCCAAACCATTAACCTGTCACTGCTGGAAGCTCTAAACCAGATCCTGCAGCACCAGATCCAGATAACTCTTAAAAAAACCCCAGGGATGGTGACTCCACCACCTCCCTGGGCAATATTCCACTGCCTGAACACCCTCACAGTGATTATTTCCACTTTGGTGGGTCTAAATCTCCTCTTAGTGGCACCATGAGAAACTTCTGATGGAGCTCTAAAAGATGAGGAACAAATAAGTGTTCTCCATGCTGCAGCTGAACTGAGATGGTGCAGTCAGGTGTTCCTGGATCACTTGGGGTGCTCAGGAGCACAAAATGCCTACTTTGGTCATCTAAAAAATGCCATTTGGCATCTGCAACTATTCACACTCCTGAGGGTGCTGAGGTTTCCTTCCACCCCTGTGGATTTTCGTGTTAAGTATGAAAATAAGGATTTTGGAGCATGTTGCATCACACTGAAAGGACAGTGGGGAAAAAAGTAGAGAAAGGTTGTGAAATATCTATTTGTGTTTGTGGAAAACTAGTTCAGGCACAACCACGGTGTGTCAAGAAAAAAACCCCAACTAACTGCCAAATAAAAAGGAAATTAAAATCCTTTTAATTTCTGGGTCTGGAGTTGGGACTTTGCTGATCCTAGTGGGTCCCTTCCAGCTCAGGATGTTCTATGATCAGAAGTGTCATGTAAGAAACCAGGAATTCCTGAGGCACACGCAGAACAGTTGGTTTTAAGAGTCACTTCCATTTCTCTCCATCACCTCTGGACAAATAATTCCTTATCTTCACCTGAAGGAAACCTTTGGCTTCACAAAACCACTTCAACACACCTAAGATTAAGGCCACAATGTCTAACCCTCTCACTATCTCCACTTCTGGACCAGCTCCAAGACACTTCCCTTGTAATTCCTCCCAAGTGGAGCAGCACTTACCAACTGCTTTTTCCCAGCTCTGCAAGCACTCCGAGCATCCTCTTTACACCTGGGAGATGGAAGAAGGAAAAGCAGCTCATTCCTTTGCCAGAGGAGATGTTTTCCAAACCAAACCAGCAACCATCCATCCTCACTACCTTGGGGTGATCCTGAGGTGACCAGTAACAATGCATGTTGATACAACCACCCTTAAACCATTGTTGATCCTGAGAAGGAGACCTTGAATGCCTTCCAAACATTCCTCACACCCATCCACTGCAGGTTGTTTTCATAGGGATAGGGAACAAAGAGTGGAAAACCTGCCCTGCCACGTGGCTGTGACTAGTGTTTACTGCACAGGAAAAAGGGGAACACTGAGCAAGGAGCTTCATTCTGGCTAGGTCATGGGAATACAGAGTTCTACATCACACAGACTTTCCCACCACCCTTCCCCAAATTACTTCTCTGCTTCCTGGGAAAGGGACTCCACCTTCTGTGACAGCAGCTGTTCACTCTGCATCAACTGATACACTCCAATGTCCACATCATTCATTGGGGAGACTTTGGCATGGAGACCTCGGGCAAATTTCACTATCTGGAAGAAAACCACATGCTCAAGTCACTTGATCCCAAAATTTGTGGCTGCCCTGGGAATACTTTCACTTGGAAGGCAGGAAGAGATGCTTTTACTCTCCCAGCTTTATGGAGTGATGAGGATGTACCAGTCACCACAGAATCTAACATTAAACCCAACAGGATCAAGGACCATCAGTGGGAGAACAAAAAGCCTTGATGGAACACCCTGGAGATTTAAGAGCTGTCCCAGTGCTCTGGAAGTGGATGGGAATGTCACACTTCAAAGGATTTCAGAGCACTGCAGGGAAACATGCCAGGTCAGAGCTGAGAGTGTTTGTATCTCCACAGGTACTCACAGAGAAGTGGAATTCCACAGTGATTCCAGTGGTATGGAATGGTTTTAGTTTGGGTATGTGGGGACAGTCAACCTGCAGGGACACTACAGATCTGCCCAGTTTTAGCTCTTCAATGAAAGAGGCAATGTTACACGTTTGAAGAACCTGTCATGCAAGGATGAGGATTTAATCTCCTCTCCAACCAGGCTGGAGTACCTGGAATTCACCTTTCCAGGCAGAGCCCACCCACATTTAGCCAGATGAAATGCAAGACTGGGATTAAACCACCCAAAAGCAGTCACCTTGACCCTGTACCTTCTCTCCATTCTGTTCCAGGATTGTGACCCTCTTTTCCTTTTGCAGCTGGAGCAGCAGCAAGTAGAATGTCCTCTCATCAGGACAGACACTGGCACAGAGGGAACGCAGCTCCGACAGGGCCACGACAGGGTGAGAGGAGAGCACAGAGTTCTGATAGAGGCGATAAACTTCCTCTGCCTTCTCCTGGGAGGGAGCAGAGAGCTGCTGTTAGCTCACACTGCACTGCCAACCCCACACCTGCTTCCTCCCACGCAGCGAAGGTGAAAGCTTAGACACATCCTATTCTGGGCCAGAGTGACTTCCAGAATGAGCTGGATGTAACTTTCTAAGGCAATGTAAGAAGAGTTGTCCATGAGAACCAAAACTACACTGTTTACATGCCCTGAAATGCAGTGGAACAACACAGGAACCACAGCAGACACTAAGTTGGCTTCACCTGCCACTTCCTGGAAATCCCTCCCCAAGCTGAAACCAAACAAAAGCTTTACTAAAGTAAATCCACAGTGACATCGTGTCACCAAGTCACTATGCAGCACTTCTATCCAGGCAGAGGGAAAGTGAAAGGTTTCCCCATTCCAAGTGAGCATTGGGACCATTTCAGACTATAGAATCATGAAATGTATTGGGTGGGAAAGGAGCTTAAAGCTCATCCAGGTCTACTCCCTGCCATGGGCAGGGACACTTTCCACTAGTCCAGGTTGCTCCAAGTCCCATCCAACCTGGCCTGGAACACTCCCAGGGATGGAGCAGCCACTGCTGCTCTGGACAACCTGTCAGTGCCTCAACACCCTCACAGGGAGGAATTCCTTCCCAATATCCCATCTGCCCTACCCTCTAGCAGTGAGAAGCCATTCCCCCTTGTCCTGGCACTCCAGGTCTTTGTCCCAAGTCCCTGTGCAGCTCTCTTGGAGCCCCTTTAGGCACTGGAAGGGGCTCTAAGTTGTCCCTGGAGCTTCTCTCCTCCAGGCTGAACACTCCCAGCTCTCCCAGCCTGTGTCCATGGCAGAGGAGCTCCAGCCCTTGGAGCATCTTCACTGTGTTAGCTTCAAACAACACCTGTAGATCTAAGTTACTTCTTATCCCATGTTATTCCATCCATCTCTCTCCAGGCTTTCCCACACCTCAGGAGCACAAACAAAGATCTACTCAACCCTGACCTTTCCTTCCCAGCACATAAAATGACTCCTGATTTTCTGGAGAGGCATAAGCTTGGGAAATCTCTCAACACCACTCACCTGCAGCAGCTCCACATAAATCAAAACCTCCTCTTCCTCAGGGATTTTGCTGTCTCCCAGCACACTGGAGAGAGTCCACTTGAGGGGCTTCAGGATGAAGACTCCCACACCCCAGGAGATCCAGCTGCTGTCTACACTGGCCATGAAGTCTGACTCCCTCTGGAGCTTCCCACGTCTAGGGAAAAGATGTTCACATGGAACTCAATACATCAATCTAAACCTTGGACATGTTGTACATCCCCAACCCCAGTAACACCTCCTAACACCAGTTCCTGCTAAAGTTTGGGATCTTACTGGTAGGTATGGAAACACACAGAGGGTTCCATTCCTCTGCAGCTTCCCCCAGACTCAAAGGGCCTTTTGTTTGCTATTTTTTCCAGTTTGGCAAGTTTCTCCCAGTTTTCTGACTGGAAACTGATGATGCATCAAAGAGGGAAATGGCTGGGGAGGGTCAGTTTGTAGAAAGGGTAACTGGCTATGCCAGGATACTTCAGTTTTGTGTTAAATTGCCAAGAGAACTGCTCAGATCTCATGATTTTCACTCTCATGTCACAGACAGAGCTCACTCCTGCGGCTCCTCAGCCTCCTCTGGGATCACTTCAGGCTCTAATCACAGAACACCTGGTTGCAAGCAGCAGCTCAGCAAATCCCCATGTGCCACTCGCAGCTGGAGCACCACAAAATGCATTTTGCAAAGCCATTCCCTGTGTCCTGTCCCTGCAGGCCCTTGTGTCAATAGTCTTTCTCCATCTCTCCTGTAGCTCCTTTAGGCACTGGAAGGGTCTCTGGAGCTTCTCTTCTCCAGGCTGAACACCCCCATCCCCTCCAGGCCCTCCAGCCCAGTGAACTCCCAAGGTCCAGGACTGTTCCTCCAGTATCCACAGAGGGATAGGAAAATAGCATCATAGAGTGGTTTGGGTGGGAAGGGATCTTAAGGACCATCCAGTTCCACCCCCTGCCATGAGCAGGGATACCTTCCACTAACCCAGGCTGCTCCAAACCCCATCCAACCTGGCCTGGAACACAACCAGGGCTGGAGCAGCCACAGCTTCTCTGGGCAATCTGTGCTAGAGCCTCAGCACCTCCCAGAGAGGAATTCCTTCCCAGTATCCCATCTATCCCTGCCCTCTGTCAGTGTGAAGCCATTCCCTTGTCCTGTCTCTCCATCCCTTGTCCCAAGTCCCTCTCCAGCTCTCCTGGAGCTCCTTTAGACACTGAAAGGGGTCTAAGGTCTCCTGGGAACCTTCTCTTCTCCAGGCTGAACACCCCCAGCACTCCCAGCCTGTCTCCAAGGCACAAGTGCTGCAGAATCCTGGAGTGGTTTGGGATGGATGAGACCTTCAAGACCACACATTCCATCGCCTGCCATGGGCAGGGACACCTTTCACTGGACCAGGTTGCTCAGAGCTCCATTCAGCCTGGCCTTGAACAGGCCTTGTTCCTAGCCTGGGACATCCACAAGTTCTCTGGGCAAGCTATTCCAGAGCCTCATCGCGCTCACAAATTGCAATATCAATATTGATATTCCTGAAAATAATTTGCCTGCACATTTATAATTCCTGAAATCATATTAATACAACTGGGAAAATACTTTCTAAACCAAGTATCGATAATGCCATTTTTTCATTACACCTCCTTTTAAAAACTCTTTTAGAGAACCAGTTCAAAACGCTAATGCCATGACCCAAACTTCAGAAAGACCCTCTGGCAACAGGAAACCATTCCCTGTGTCCTAGCACTGTTTGCTTCCCCTAATCCTCTTCTCTGTTTGAGTAGGAAAAGCCTTGGAAGGATCTTAAATCCCAGACCATCCCATCCCAATCCTATCCCATCC